TATCCCACTTTTTTATCATTAGTTATAAAGACATTTTCTTCGGTAACATCACGTTCTCTCTTCAAAATAAAGTTTAAGCTCCAACTCTGTCTGTGTTAATGCATCAGAAGTAGGCTCTTCTCTCGGCTTCCATGGTTCCGTAGTGTAGTGGTTATCACGTTCGCTTTACACGCGAAAGGTCTCCGGTTCGATCCCGGACGGAACCATATGAAAGAATGCTTTCTTTTTTTTATGATTAAGGAATTTAGAATTACATACGCATGAGGGGAGGTATCCCACTTTTTTATCATTAGTTATAAAGACATTTTCTTCGGTAACATCACGTTCTCTCTTCAAAATAAAGTTTAAGCTCCAACTCTGTCTGTGTTAATGCATCAGAAGTAGGCTCTTCTCTCGGCTTCCATGGTTCCGTAGTGTAGTGGTTATCACGTTCGCTTTACACGCGAAAGGTCTCCGGTTCGATCCCGGACGGAACCATATGAAAGAATGCTTTCTTTTTTTTATGATTAAGGAATTTAGAATTACATACGCACGTTTGGAGGTATCCCACTTTTTATCATTAGTTATAAAGACATTTTCTTCGGTAACATCACGTTCTCTCTTCAAAATAAAGTTTAAGCTCCAACTCTGTCTGTGTTAATGCATCAGAAGTAGGCTCTTCTCTCGGCTTCCATGGTTCCGTAGTGTAGTGGTTATCACGTTCGCTTTACACGCGAAAGGTCTCCGGTTCGATCCCGGACGGAACCATATGAAAGAATGCTTTTTTTTTTTTTTTTATGATTAAGGAATTTAGAATTACATACGCACGTTTGGGGAGGTATCCCACTTTTTATCATTAGTTATAAAGACATTTTCTTCGGTAACATCACGTTCTCTCTTCAAAATAAAGTTTAAGCTCCAACTCTGTCTGTGTTAATGCATCAGAAGTAGGCTCTTCTCTCGGCTTCCATGGTTCCGTAGTGTAGTGGTTATCACGTTCGCTTTACACGCGAAAGGTCTCCGGTTCGATCCCGGACGGAACCATATGAAAGAATGCTTTTTTTTTTTTATCATTAAGGAATTTAGAATTACATACGCACGTGGGGAGGTATCCCACTTTTTATCATTAGTTATAAAGACATTTTCTTCGGTAACATCACGTTCTCTCTTCAAAATAAAGTTTAAGCTCCAACTCTGTCTGTGTTAATGCATCAGAAGTAGGCTCTTCTCTCGGCTTCCATGGTTCCGTAGTGTAGTGGTTATCACGTTCGCTTTACACGCGAAAGGTCTCCGGTTCGATCCCGGACGGAACCATATGAAAGAATGCTTTCTTTTTTATGATTAAGGAATTTAGAATTACATACGCACGAGGGGAGGTATCCCACTTTTTATCATTAGTTATAAAGACATTTTCTTCGGTAACATCACGTTCTCTCTTCAAAATAAAGTTTAAGCTCCAACTCTGTCTGTGTTAATGCATCAGAAGTAGGCTCTTCTCTCGGCTTCCATGGTTCCGTAGTGTAGTGGTTATCACGTTCGCTTTACACGCGAAAGGTCTCCGGTTCGATCCCGGACGGAACCATATGAAAGAATGCTTTTTTTTTTTATGATTAAGGAATTTAGAATTACATACGCATGAGGGGAGGTATCCCACTTTTTTATCATTAGTTATAAAGACATTTTCTTCGGTAACATCACGTTCTCTCTTCAAAATAAAGTTTAAGCTCCAACTCTGTCTGTGTTAATGCATCAGAAGTAGGCTCATCTCTCGGCTTCCATGGTTCCGTAGTGTAGTGGTTATCACGTTCGCTTTACACGCGAAAGGTCTCCGGTTCGATCCCGGACGGAACCATATGAAAGAATGCTTTCTTTTTTTTTATGATTAAGGAATTTAGAATTACATACGCACGTGGGGAGGTATCCCACTTTTTATCATTAGTTATAAAGACATTTTCTTCGGTAACATCACGTTCTCTCTTCAAAATAAAGTTTAAGCTCCAACTCTGTCTGTGTTAATGCATCAGAAGTAGGCTCTTCTCTCGGCTTCCATGGTTCCGTAGTGTAGTGGTTATCACGTTCGCTTTACACGCGAAAGGTCTCCGGTTCGATCCCGGACGGAACCATATGAAAGAATGCTTTCTTTTTTTATGATTAAGGAATTTAGAATTACATACGCATGAGGGGAGGTATCCCAATTTTATCATTAGTTATAAAGACATTTTCTTCGGTAACATCACGTTCTCTCTTCAAAATAAAGTTTAAGCTCCAACTCTGTCTGTGTTATTGCATCAGAAGTAGGCTCATCTCTCGGCTTCCATGGTTCCGTAGTGTAGTGGTTATCACGTTCGCTTTACACGCGAAAGGTCTCCGGTTCGATCCCGGACGGAACCATATGAAAGAATGCTTTCTTTTTTTATGATTAAGGAATTTAGAATTACATACGCACGAGGGGAGGTATCCCACATTTTTATCATTAGTTATAAAGACATTTTCTTCGGTAACATCACGTTCTCTCTTCAAAATAAAGTTTAAGCTCCAACTCTGTCTGTGTTAATGCATCAGAAGTAGGCTCTTCTCTCGGCTTCCATGGTTCCGTAGTGTAGTGGTTATCACGTTCGCTTTACACGCGAAAGGTCTCCGGTTCCATCCCGGACGGAACCATATGAAAGAATGCTTTCTTTTTTTATGATTAAGGAATTTAGAATTACATACGCATGAGGGGAGGTATCCCACTTTCTTACCATTAGTTATAAAGACATTTTCTTCGGTAACATCACGTTCTCTCTTCAAAATAAAGTTTAAGCTCCAACTCTGTCTGTGTTAATGCATCAGAAGTAGGCTCTTCTCTCGGCTTCCATGGTTCCGTAGTGTAGTGGTTATCACGTTCGCTTTACACGCGAAAGGTCTCCGGTTCGATCCCGGACGGAACCATATGAAAGAATGCTTTCTTTTTTTTTTTTTAATGTATTTAGAATTACATACGCACGTGGGGAGGTATCCCAATTTTTTATCATTAGTTATAAAGACATTTTCTTCGGTAACATCACGTTCTCTCTTCAAAATAAAGTTTAAGCTCCAACTCTGTCTGTGTTAATGCATCAGAAGTAGGCTCTTCTCTCGGCTTCCATGGTTCCGTAGTGTAGTGGTTATCACGTTCGCTTTACACGCGAAAGGTCTCCGGTTCGATCCCGGACGGAACCATATGAAAGAATGCTTTCTTTTTTTTTATGATTAAGGAATTTAGAATTACATACGCATGAGGGGAGGTATCCACTTTTTTATCATTAGTTATAAAGACATTTTCTTCGGTAACATCACGTTCTCTCTTCAAAATAAAGTTTAAGCTCCAACTCTGTCTGTGTTAATGCATCAGAAGTAGGCTCTTCTCTCGGCTTCCATGGTTCCGTAGTGTAGTGGTTATCACGTTCGCTTTACACGCGAAAGGTCTCCGGTTCGATCCCGGACGGAACCATATGAAAGAATGCTTTCTTTTTTTTTGATTAAGGAATTTAGAATTACATACGCATGAGGGGAGGTATCCCACATTTTTATCATTAGTTATAAAGACATTTTCTTCGGTAACATCACGTTCTCTCTTCAAAATAAAGTTTAAGCTCCAACTCTGTCTGTGTTAATGCATCAGAAGTAGGCTCTTCTCTCGGCTTCCATGGTTCCGTAGTGTAGTGGTTATCACGTTCGCTTTACACGCGAAAGGTCTCCGGTTCGATCCCGGACGGAACCATATGAAAGAATGCTTTCTTTTTTTTATGATTAAGGAATTTAGAATTACATACGCATGAGGGGAGGTATCCCACTTTTTATCATTAGTTATAAAGACATTTTCTTCGGTAACATCACGTTCTCTCTTCAAAATAAAGTTTAAGCTCCAACTCTGTCTGTGTTAATGCATCAGAAGTAGGCTCTTCTCTCGGCTTCCATGGTTCCGTAGTGTAGTGGTTATCACGTTCGCTTTACACGCGAAAGGTCTCCGGTTCGATCCCGGACGGAACCATATGAAAGAATGCTTTCTTTTTTTTATGATTAAGGAATTTAGAATTACATACGCATGAGGGGAGGTATCCCAATTTTATCATTAGTTATAAAGACATTTTCTTCGGTAACATCACGTTCTCTCTTCAAAATAAAGTTTAAGCTCCAACTCTGTCTGTGTTAATGCATCAGAAGTAGGCTCTTCTCTCGGCTTCCATGGTTCCGTAGTGTAGTGGTTATCACGTTCGCTTTACACGCGAAAGGTCTCCGGTTCGATCCCGGACGGAACCATATGAAAGAATGCTTTCTTTTTTTTTTATGATTAAGGAATTTAGAATTACATACGCATGAGGGGAGGTATCCCACTTTTTTATCATTAGTTATAAAGACATTTTCTTCGGTAACATCACGTTCTCTCTTCAAAATAAAGTTTAAGCTCCAACTCTGTCTGTGTTAATGCATCAGAAGTAGGCTCTTCTCTCGGCTTCCATGGTTCCGTAGTGTAGTGGTTATCACGTTCGCTTTACACGCGAAAGGTCTCCGGTTCGATCCCGGACGGAACCATATGAAAGAATGTTTTTTTTTTTTTTATGATTAAGGAATTTAGAATTACTTACGCATGAGGGGAGGTATCCCACTTTTTATCATTAGTTATAAAGACATTTTCTTCGGTAACATCACGTTCTCTCTTCAAAATAAAGTTTAAGCTCCAACTCTGTCTGTGTTAATGCATCAGAAGTAGGCTCTTCTCTCGGCTTCCATGGTTCCGTAGTGTAGTGGTTATCACGTTCGCTTTACACGCGAAAGGTCTCCGGTTCGATCCCGGACGGAACCATATGAAAGAATGCTTTCTTTTTTTTTATGATTAAGGAATTTAGAATTACATACGCATGAGGGAGGTATCCACTTTTTATCATTAGTTATAAAGACATTTTCTTCGGTAACATCACGTTCTCTCTTCAAAATAAAGTTTAAGCTCCAACTCTGTCTGTGTTAATGCATCAGAAGTAGGCTCTTCTCTCGGCTTCCATGGTTCCGTAGTGTAGTGGTTATCACGTTCGCTTTACACGCGAAAGGTCTCCGGTTCGATCCCGACGGAACCATATGAAAGAATGCTTTCTTTTTTTTATGATTAAGAATTTAGAATTACATACGCATGAGGAGTTCCCAATTTTTTATCATTAGTTATAAAAGACATTTTCTTCGGTAACATCACGTTCTCTCTTCAAAATAAAGTTTTAAGCTCCAACTCTGTCTGTGTTAATGCATCAGAATTCTTCTCTCGGCTTCCATGGTTCCGTAGTGTAGTGTTATCACGTTCGCTTTACACGCGAAAGGTCTCCGGTTCGATCCCCGACGGAACCATATGAAAGAATGCTTTCTTTTTTTATGATTAAGGAATTTAGAATACATACGCACGTGGGGACATCCACATTTTTACCATTAGTTATAAAAGACATTTTCGTTCGGTAACATCACGTTCTCTCTTCAAAATAAAGTTTAAGCTCCAACTCTGTCTGTGTTAATGCA